AATAAATGATAATTTGTTTTAGGTATTTGTTTTCTTTGGAGATATTTAATAATAATTCATTCAGTCTATGTAATTTGATCACTACATTCACTCACTAGCAACTGTTGTTTAGTATCAACTATGTTAGACTATATATTTCAAAACAGTAAATGATACTAGGAATCTGGCTATTAAAGTTAGAGATGTTGGGAGACCCACGGGGATTACAACTGAGATGAAAAAAAAAATGTACAAAATGATGTAAAAATAAACTATTAAAAAAAACTTAGAGATATAGTTCATTTAATTTAATTATCAGGATAAAGTAACTATTTTTCAGGTAATTATCTTTTTTTGTGGTTTAGCTTGTTCTTATTATATGTTCCTGGTTCTCATTTATTTTCATTTTTTTAAAGCATTTATGTAACTTATTTCTTGAAATTTACTAGCATAGTAATAATAATTTCCCCAAATACTCTTAATTCAAATCTACATTACTACTTTTATCTCTTTTATCATTCCTAAATTGAAAGATAGTGTATTTTTTTATTTTCTGTTTCCTAAAATGTTTATAATATATACATGCTTTCATACATTTTTTAAAAAATAATTTAATAGTTTATCTTTACATCATCTTGTGCCTTATTCCATCTCAGTTGTAATCCCTGTGGGTTTCCCATCACCAAATCACCTGTGAGCCATCACCATAAGAAAGATAATATTTTTTTTGAAAGATAATATGTTTTTAAAGAAATTCCTTATTTGTATAGAATTTTCTAAGCCTTTTAAATATACTATTTGTGTATTTGGTGCTTTAGGACTAAGTCCCATACAGATTAAACACTTTTACCTCATTTAAAAGAAAGGGCTCCTTCTACCGTTTTCTGGACTAATGTTAACTATTACATCCCACTACATGACAAAGAAGTAGAATCCCATTTATGTTGGCAAAATCAGAATGTAAGTCATAACTCTCAACATTTAAAAGTTTCTTATATGTGGGCCCTCCCTGGTGGCGCAATGGGTTAAAGCACAGCACTAAGAAGCTAAAGCCACTTCAGCATGAGTTCGATCCCCACCCCAGAGGTGACCCACATGATGCCGCAGACCTCTCCTGCCCCGCCCACTGCACCCCTCAGCAATGTAACTTCATTGACCTGCCTGTTCTGCTCCCTACTCTGTCTCTGGTGAATCCTCTCACCACCCCTGCACCTCTGGCCTGTATGCATAAATAAGTAAATATATTTTTAAAGTTTCTTATATTTAATAAAAATTGCAAATGATCCATAGGCAATCACTGACTTAGTTAAAGGTTAATTCTGCCATGCTTTTTTTTGGACCAAAGAAGAGAACACAGTGTAATAGAGTAAAATGGGTCCTGGGTTGGGCTACATACTAGTTTTAGCACTTGAAGAAGGAACCAGTTTCCTAATATTTGCTGGCATCTGTGAGTAATTAATAATTAGTAATTAGCAGTTAGGGATAGTGAATTAAGAAACACTGGCCCTTCTAAGCCTACCTCTGGAAAGCTGAGACATGAGTTATAATCCTGATTGTTTTATTGCATTTTGGGTAATATGCAAATCACTAACGTATTTGACCCTCAGATTTCTAACCTGTAAAATGGAGGTAATAATACCTTAGGGTTGTTGTAAGCACTAAATGATAAAAATGCTTATGTAAAATACCTAACACATTATAGGTAGGTAGTAGCTGAATTCCTTTTTTTCCTTCTCCTTAGGTCAGAGCTGAGGGGGAAAAAGCACAACAGGCAAGCATGATAGAGTCTTTTAGTAACTACAGTGCCCCACAAGAACAGAATTCTATATACTCCGACCTCCCAAAATGTTAGTGCAAGGTTTTCTCAGCCATGGCATGACTGGCATTTTGGGCCGAATAGTGTTATGCTGTTGTGGGGACTGTCCTGTGCATTGTGGGATGTTCTTTAACATCCTTGGGTTATACCTTAGCTCCCCCACTGTGAAAATAAAAAATGTTTCCAGGCATTGCCAAATGTTCTCCCAGAGGAGGGAGGTCACCCTCAGTTGAGAATTTCCACATTAGTGAGTCATAAATTCACAGGTACTAGGTCTGAAGAGACTTTAAAAAGGTTATATAGCATAAAATTGAAAATAGAAATATTAGGAAACATAGGTAGTCAACACTATTTAGTGATACAAATTTCTTACTTTGAGTTTTGGTCCAAAGTTTGAAAGCCTATACTTAACAAAATTTTTCATAAAAATGATCTCATTTAATTAGAATACTCAATAGACAAGCAGACATTAACAAGGAAGACAACGAAGTCAATTTTCTGACACAGTGGAAGCTAAACAACATAAAAAAAAATTGAGGGTCAGATCACCTGAGTGACTTGTTCTAAGACTAAAGAAAGGCTTTGAAGCAGAAGCCAAATTCTCCAAACTTTTAGGGACAAGTGGAAAGAAGATTGGTACCTGAAGACAAAGATTTCCTGTATGGTCCAGATGTACAGAAACATCAGAAAGATAGGCCTTTGGTGGTGAGTGAATCCAGTCACTAAAATTTAATATCAAAACATTAGATAGAAATTTAAGGAACATTTTATTGAGATGTTATTTTTCCACCCCGGCTTGTTAACCTTTGTATAACCATAATTACTTGTTGAATGAATAAATGAATATGGGCCACATAATTCCTGTTCATCTTGCAACTGGAAAGGCCCATCAGGCAACCTGCTCCCCCATCTAGAATCTCCTTTGTCTTAACAGTCCTCTCCCCGGCACTTTCCACAAGTCTCCACACAGATTTATACCCTCCCCAGTGCTCCTTCTATAAGCTTACCTAGTTGACCTATAATGGTCTGTTGGTAATTGTTCCACCATCTTCCCTGTACCTTCCCACTCTCTTTTTCCCTACCTCAAATTAGCAAGTATGTTCTATTTTTAGAAAGCATAAATCACAGCATCCACCCCAGTGCCTGGCAATGCAATTACTGTTTAATAGATGTTGATGGAGTGGAAGGAAACAAAGAAGACAACAAAGTCAATTATCTGATACCATACCTTAGCAAGAAAAACACACTGCCACTCCCTTTCAAAGTGGGGTGGAAACGAAACTACCCATTTCATACTTGACAGTTGAAGTTTTCTGTTTGGGAAGGGCAGTGGTTTGAGCTGTCTGTGGTGCAAGGCCACCACTCTGTGGAGATGTGTGTGCATTGCAGGGCTCTGAAGCTGCCCCACTCAGATGCCAAGCCGTTGGCATTTGTGCTGTCACTACCTAAGCCTGGGGCTCTGCGCTCTTTGTGACCCCACCTTTCCTAAGAACTACCTAGGATCTTGTTAAATTGATGACTTCCCAGGGTCTGCCCTAGAAGATGAATAAGTGGGTTGGAAATGAAACACCCAGTAATTTGTATTTTTAATTAGTACCCCCATGTGATTCTTGCTGTAAAGGAAGTTTGGTAGTGTTCATTGTTTACTTTCACTCCCGCTAGTGAATCAGGGCAGCTTTTTAATTTTTCAGCGAGCTTACTTTACGAATGCAGTATTTTTTTTGGTTATTGGAAAAAGATGTTCTTGAGGCCCTTTAAGAAGAAGCTGTCCCTTGCTAACATTCAGAGTGTATTGCTTTGCAGCTTTTAACTTCCCTTTTAGAGGAATTATTCAAATGAGAGCTGCTCTTTTGCAGAAGGCCAAAAGCAAACTTTAAAACTGTTCTGGCCCTGGGAGCCAAGCTACTCCCTCAACATAGCTGCCAGGATTGTGGATCTGAGTATTATCAGATCCAACTCATACCTTTTGTAGATGAGGCCAGGGGCTGAGGTGACTAGCCCCATAGTCTTTCTCAGACTTTGGATGGAAAGCGGTAGAAGCGGGAAGGGGGTCCTCCCTGGTGGTGCAAGGGGTTGGCCTAAGTGCGAGTTTGATCCCATGTGGCAGGTGATCCACGTTAGATACCACCTGGCAGGTGATCCACGTGGTGCAGACCTCTCCAGTCTCGCCTGCTGCACCTCTCAGCAGTGTACTTTGTAGATCTGCCTATTCTGCTCCCCACTCTGTCTCTGGTGAATCCTCTCACTGTCCCTGCACTTCTGGCCTGTACCCCAGTTCTATATGCAATAATAATTTTAAAATCTTAAAAAAAAAAAAAAAAAAAGGCGGGGAAGGGCCTGCGCCGTTCCTTTAACAAGTCACATTGTTAAAAGTTGTCCTAGGCAGGGAGTTCAGAAAAACGCTCAGCTTTTTAGTATTTTCACCAGGACCCAACTATGCATCACAGTAGGAAATTTAGGCAAGATGCAGGAAACTCTTGCTGCAGGTGGCCTTTCTTCCTTCCGGATTCTCTTTGTTCCAAGGGCTCAGAGGAGCTCTGGTGAGAAATAGAAAACAGTTTAAGAAGAGGGACGTCTTCTGCCAATTCTTGATCTTATAAACTACCCCTGACACAAAAAGCGGCCGCTGCGTTGAGGGCCATAGGACTCGAGAACGTTTGCTTAAGCGCGGAGAGTGTCAGACTCGTTATTAGAAAAAGCGGCGGTAGGAAGTAAATCCTCTGCGCAGAGGCCCGCCTCCTCTGGGGAGCCCTAGGTCCCCAAACCAGGCTTACGATCGTGGGCGCGGGGGTGGGGGTGAGGGGGTGAGAGGGCCGGTCTCGCGCTTGGGGGCGGGATGAGGGCCTCACTCGGCCACGGCCGGCTCAGGGATTTCCCTACAAGGACTCGGGCTGCCGAACCCCGCCCCAGGCCGTGCCCTGGAATGTGCTCTCAAATCCCTCAGGATAGACTCGACCATCTTCCGACAAAAAAGGGGAGGGGAGAGCACACTAGAAGAAGCCATGGGAAGACGAGACGCAGTCCCTGGACCCAGGGAGCCATTACACACTCTTCTATATCCTAAGTTTCTCTCTTTGTACTTTCTTGTCCTGCACCCGGTCACTGCTGCGCCCTTTTGCGCGCACACACGCGAGTTCGCCCCCCCAGCCGTCCTTTAAACAAGGCCAGCCACTCTGCCGGAATGGTGACTCGCTTCCTTCCGGTTTGGTAAGTGGAGGCCGGAAGTGTCGGTTTTTAGCGGCCCACAGAGTTAGGGAGTGGTACTAGCGGCGGAGCAGCGGAGGCTTCAGTGAAGTGTTTTTGTCGCGTCCGTGTCCGGTGAGTGATGCTCATGGTGGAGCGCGTGAGGCCCGTCCTGGCCTCATGTCCTCTGGGTGGCCGGGAGGGCGTAGGTGCCCAGCGGCGGCTCCCCGCGCCAGAAGCGCACCTGGGCAGGTGTACCGGCTGGTTCCCAGGTTTCCAGCCCAAGGCCTTGCTACCTGGAGCGTGGGCCGCAGCCGGAAGTGGCTAGAAGCGAACTTCGCTCCTTTTCCAAACTTGGAATGCGGGGAAGTGTGGCTTAGCTCACCGGCGCCGGGAGCTCGGGCGACAGCAGCGCCGGGGGAAACCCGAGCCCGGTGGCTCTGACTCCGCTACTATGTTTAGTTTCTCACGTAAACTTGTCCGATTCGACCGAGTTTGCGCCAAAACCGTAGCTCCAGTCCCCCCCCCCCCTTCTGCAGCTGTTGCAGCCGTGTTTGGTACATTTGGTAGGAATAACCAACTCAAATTAGCAACTTCTTTAGTTGAGTGTCCACTTCTGCAGTTAGCACTTTTTAAAAATAAAAGTGGTGGTGTGGATTTGGACAGATAGAGTTTAGGATTTAGTCTACGGGTGATAAAAATTCTAAAATACGGAAGTTCTTTTTTGGGTGGAGATTTTGCGTGAAGTCAGTTTGCCAAAATGTTTGTCTCTAAAGTAATTGAGTAGGTATATGAAAACATACCTGTGCTTTACAATGTTTTGGAACAGAAATGTGCGTTCCATTGAGTTTTTAACTCAAGTGCAATAGTTTTCTATATATGAAGGTGAGGAAAGTATTTCTTAAAATCACTGCTTGCTAAATGCCCTGGGAGGATTTCAATAAACCAGAAAACATTTATTTTCAAGAGTGAGGCATTACTGGCAAGTAAATGCTTTGTTACAAAGTGCTAAGAACTTTTTGGGTGTGGCAACCCAGCCTTCAGCCGGAAGTTTGCAAATAATTGATAACTTGGTTTAGTTAAAACAGAAGCACCAAAACTTTGAAAACGGGTTGGTATCCCCAAAATACACTTACTTAGCTTGAAATTTAAAATTAAAAACCTACTGATTAATGGGACTGTAGGATTTGTCTAAACTTGGAAAGCAATCTATCTGCTAACCGGTTAGAAAGTTTTTGTAACATGGGAGTTTTTTTCTTAATGTATCCTATTAAACAGAGTACTGTAAGTTTGAGTGTTAGTTAATGCACAGAAGTCTGTAGATTTTTTACACGTTACCACTTTGTAAATGCTGGACTCTCAGATTCTAACTAGAGAAATGTAATGTAATGTTAGAATAGACTAGTCCCATCTTAAAAACAGTAGTATCCAAAGAATCTGAAAAATCTTCTGATTGCCCATGGTATGTGGGAAGAGGATCTCGAGTTTCCATTTCTTCCCCTTTAACCTAGTCTTAACATTTTCCTTACATGGTTTGTATTCCTTCTCCTGTTAATAACCCTGAATGATTTACTTCCCATTAGGTCAGGAAAAACAGCCAGTTGTTCAAAATAAGTAAACTGTGGCTTATGGTTTTCCCCTACAAGCTAAAGGTAGGGGTGAAGAAAATACTGATGGAGAGGAAGTCAAACCAGAACAGTATTTTGATCCCCCAAAACAGATCATATCTGACATTGTCATTGTTTATTGTCCGTTTCCATTTCCCCCACTGACTGTGAGACTGAACTCCCTATTCTCCCCCCACCTCCTTGCCTAAACGCTTCAGGTTTCTGATCCTAGATTAGAACCCACTCTCCTTGAAAAAGTAAAGATAAGATGGTAACTTGTCTGACATTATACTTGTCTGACAGTTTTTGGTAGAATTAACTACCTTGTTAGAATTAGGACTTATTCCCCAATCTCTTTAATTCGAAGGCAGCCTTATTTCAAAATGGTATAGGTTTTTTGCAAGGTCTCCTCCCTGAGCCCCCAGTCTTTTAAAAACTCACAATCTTTTCCTCCTGATTTCACAGTATTTGATAATCATGTATCACCTTTGACTTTTTTTTTAGTGACACGATGCTCTAACTTGAGAGTAATACCTCTGGAATGAAAACTATGTGACTCGTTTCATAAATTGAACCAATCATTTCATTTCTTTGTAGTTGCCTCCCTGCCATATTTTAAGCTTCTTGAAGATATGACATTCACTTTACATTTCTTTTCTTTTTAAAGATTTATTTATGCTTACAGAACTTGGGTACAGGCCAGAGGTGCAGGGGCAGTGAGAGGATTTACCAGAGACAGGGTGAGGAGCAGAACAGGCCTACTGATGAAGTATGCTGCTGAGGGCAACAGCAGGCGGGTCAGAAGAAGTCTGCCAGCCATGTGGGTCACCTCCCTGGCGGGGATCAAACTTATGCTGAAGTGGCTTTAGCTTCTTAGCACTGTGTTTTAATACGCTGCACAACTAGGGAGGACCCCACTTTACATTTCTTAGTTCTTAAATAGTAGTCAACATTAGTGACATTTGAAATACATTGTGTGATTAACTGATCATATATTGATCACATATTAAGAGTTGATGATTAAGTATCAAATAAACCTAAGAAAAGTTATATATGAGCCACTGTCAGTGCTGACCAAAAAGTGACCGATATAACTTAAAAAAAATATATATATATAATGCATTTACAAATTTAAAGAACACATGATTAAAAGACTGAAAGGAGGGCCATCCCTGGTGGCACAGCTGGTTAAAGCACAGCACTGAGAAGCTAAAGCCACTTCAGTGAGAGTTTGATCCCCACCCGGGAGGTGATCCACATGGCACAGTAGACCTTCCGCTGCTTCCCTCAGCAGTGCTGTTTATCAGTCAGTCTGTCTGCTCCCCACTCTGCCTTTGGTGATTCCTGCCCCTGCATCTCTGGCCTGTACCCCAGCTCTGTGTGCATGAATAAATAAATCTTTAAAAAAAAAAAAAGAAATACATCCTCTCTCTCTATATATATACATATATATATATACATATGTACATATATTTGTTATATACATATATTTGTTTACAACCAATATAAGCATTTTTAAGTTATGTAGAGGACCCCATCAAATCAATAAGGATCTTTTTTTAAAAGATCCCTAGTGGCAAACATTTGACATTTAATTTTCATCAGTTGCTCTTAAAATAACTGGCATTCCTGCATCATTAGAGGAAAAATAACTGACATTCCTGCATCATTAGAGGAAGATAATATCAAACAAAACATACTTTTTTTTTTTTGCTTTTCATAGTCCTAATTTATCAAAACACACTATTTTTAAAGATATGCTTTGGTTTGCATAGACATAGCATGCCTAAGATGTTAAAGAGATAGTGGCTGATAGGTAAATCCTACTTTTCTGGGTTCACTCACCCTCGTCCTTGAGTTCATTTAAGAGATGGGGGAATGATATACTCTGTAGTTCTAGTAGTTTTTAAAACTACATTCTGAATAGAGAGAAAAAGTAGAGCTCCTTGTATGGTACATAATGGTATTCATTGCCCTCTAAGGGTGTTACAGAATGAAATATCCATTAAAAATGGTTTAAATAAGTCAGGAAAGGCACACTCCTAATGGGATGTCTAAAGGAAAGTAGGGAGTCACGGAGGAGTATATGTCACAGCTGTGCCTTGTAGGTTTTGTCTTTCCACCAACACATTCTTGTGTATCCCTAAAGATTTCTATATTGGTCAGAATTTGTGACTGGCCCTTATGGAATTTCCAACAAATTCCAACATATTTAGCTAAAGTAAATTTAAGGCAGAGCTTAGCTAATTATTTTTGTAATTGAACTTAGTTTGGGTGGTGTGATTTAATCAAAGAAAGAATGAAAAATAACTTCTTGACTCATAGGAAGAATTGTATTTTAAGGTCACTTTGCAATGCTGAGGTCTAGGTAGTACTTCATTCTTTGCAGTCCACAGACTTATTTTTAGAGCAAGGCAGTGTTTGCTACATCATAGCTAAATGTTGATTTCAGAACGTAAGCTTTAAAATTGTGATACTGGTCAGAGTGAAATCAGTAGTGCCTATTTTAAACCCGCTTGGAAGAATATAACTCAATACAGTGTGTTAGTGTCTTAGAAGTTTTGCAGACAACCATCTTCATCTCATCTCTGAAGGATGGTACGGTAAAATTTTATTTTCTAAGGAAAATGGGATTATTTTTAACTTCAAATTTTTATATCCTTTTGAACATTGTTGAAAGATAATTACATTTTAGGTATGATTAAACATTCTTTTAATTTTAATTTAGATTTTGCAGGGATGAATTTAGATTACTAGAGAGCAAAAGTAGTTTCCATTCTTAAATGTTTTCTAAAACTTAAAAATCTAAGTTGCTTTAAAAACTGATATGCTCTGATTTTTGCTTAGAGAACCTAGTTACTTCAAGTGTGTTAGCTTGACTCTGTGCAAAGAATTGGTTTCATCGCGGAAATACCTGCAAAACTTAGAATTAAGAGATTTCTATTCTTTTCTGTTTGTTTTTCAACAAACATCACTCTTGAACTGCTTTGATTCCAGACTGAGAGTATAATAAGAAATGTTAGTTGCCAAGTGGAAGAACAGTATTTGTCAGTAAAAACTAAAAGATATAGCTCTGTTCTTTTCATCATAACCCTCCTTCTTACTTCTGTTCACTTAGAAAGGGATGGCTAGTTTAGGCTAGGGCTGCAAGGATAGACTGGATAGCTTTTAGACATCTAAGTAGCTCAAACGTATCTGTTAACTTCTTGTTAACTTGTTTTTCTTAAATTCCCATCCTAACTAGGATTTAACTGCCACCATGTCGAGCAAAAGGGCAAAGACCAAGACCACCAAGAAGCGTCCCCAGCGCGCAACATCTAATGTGTTTGCCATGTTTGACCAGTCACAGATTCAGGAATTCAAAGAGGCCTTCAATATGATTGACCAGAACAGAGATGGTTTTATTGACAAGGAAGATTTGCATGACATGCTTGCCTCCTTGGGTAACTATTTTTAATATTAATATATTAGAATATTTCTAATGCCCTTTTTGTTTATTTCTTAAGTCTTAAAGCCCTGTAAAATCAGTCTGATGGGAAGCAAGTGATGTTATAGTTTACTAAGTCTGAAGATTCTAGAACAGTATTTCCCAAAGTGTGATCCTTAGATTACCTGCAGACTTCTAGCCATATCTCTCAGGATTGGTCCCGGGGCCAGGCTTGAATGTGTGTTGCAAACGCTGATCTGAAATTAAGAGCAGTCTTATTTCTTCAGACATCCCAGTGAAGTAACATATAATCTCCAGGCTTTTGAATATAGGTCTTACTCAAATACTTGGACTATCATGAATGTAACAGCAGACTATATTCATTGATAATCTTTCTTGTCAAAATCAATGTATTTTATAATGTTGTTAAAGTTATGACTCTCTGTTTTTTTGGTTAGGGAAAAATCCAACTGATGAGTACCTGGATGCCATGATGAATGAGGCTCCAGGTCCCATCAATTTTACCATGTTTCTCACAATGTTTGGTGAGAAGTTAAATGGCACAGATCCAGAAGATGTCATCAGAAATGCTTTTGCTTGCTTTGATGAAGAAGCAACTGGTAAGTCAAAAGTAACCTTTAATTACTGAGTAATTTTTAAATTTTGGGGCACGCATGTTAATTCTGTGGAATGTTAATTATACGCTTCTTTGCTTCTGCCCTTAGAAATTTAATTTATAATTGGTGTATTTGAAACATCTTTAGGAAACCTATGTTACTTCTTTTTAAGATTTAGGCTTGCAGTAAAATGTGCTGAATAATGTTTACCAGAGCATTCTTTGATAAAGTGTAAAATACAGCAGTCCTATATGAGTTACCTGAGATTATTTAAATCTGGTATAGCTAACCTTTTACTGGAATCAGACTCTGATTTCATATTTCATGGCTGTGTGATGTTGGGCAAGTACTTATTAAACTGAGAGGAAATGTAAGGGGAATACTGACATGGTTTTGAAACGTAAGGCACACCTTTTGGTCACATATTTCTGATCAGTTTAAATAGTTCAAGCATAGTCTGGCGATGGAAACATTGTTTCCCCATTTTGACTTTCACATGTGCCCTATTTGAGTATAGCACCCTTCACTCTTAGTTCATCCTCCCAGCCTCCTGCAGGTTTCCATATATTTTGTGTTATCTTAAACCTCCACTGTTTCTGCCTTTATGCCTTCCTCATCATACCATCTTGTTCTTCCTTTTAAAATGGAAGTTATTACTGGGAGGTGTGCAGTGGAAAAGAGGAAGGCAGAGGAAACTTAATATGAAAAAATCTTATAAAGGGTTTTTCTGAAGATTCTTCTGTATTGATTGAATTTTTTCCTTTGTGAGCAGGTGTTACTTTTCTTTATGGAAAGGAATAAAACAATAGAGAAGAAAATGTTTTATCCATTCTTGAAACTCATTTCAGTGGTCATATTCTTTACAGAGCTCTCTCCCAGTCCTAGTGTTATAACTTAAAAGCTCTGTGTTACTTAAAAGCTCTGTGTTACCATCTTTGTACCCTTCTAGCAGCTACCACAATTCCTTTCCTGATAATCAATGGTTATTTTATGTGGTAGATGAATAACATGTCTGGAGATGAGGGTTTATTTTTACAGGCTAAAAGTCTATGACTTGGGGAAGAACATTTTGTTAATCTAAGATTGAGTTAGCAGAAATCCATAAGTCTAGAGTTTCTTTTGTAACCTACATTATATGGTAAGTTCATTTTACAGATATTATCAATATTTTAGTTTAATTATACAAAAAAGGAATTAATATATTTTTTTTACTTTATGAATTTCAAAAATGTGCTTCAGTTAAAACTTTAGTTTAATACATGAGTGATTCTCAATCATGATTGTACTTGGGAAGCAATCATGATTGTACTTGGGAAGCTTTTTAAAAAGTTCAGTGCCATGCCCTCCCTGGTGGTGCAACAGGTTAGATAGAGCACAGCACTGCAAGCTGGCAGCAGCAGCTTCAATGCGTGTTCCGTCCCTGGCCCCAGAGGCGATCCCACATGGTGCAGCAGACCCTCCATATCCACAGTGCCTTTTGTGGTGTCTACAGCCTCATTAGTGCTCAATTTGTAGTCTGTTTTGAATACTCTGGGCCTGGCCATATTTGTTATCAAATCTAAATTAGATTTTTTTTTTAAATAGGGAAAAAAGATACCAAAAATCTCATAAAAACAGAGGTAAAATGAAATGCCTAAAATAACACAGCTTGCTAAAACTGGGCTTCTTTCCAATGAACAACTTTATATTTATGGGTATGGTAGTGATTTTAGTGTTACTTGTAAGTGTAATCATTCATGCTACTTTAAGGTACCATGAGGCTTAGGTTCTTTAATATTTTTTTGTGTGTTTGTTTAAGCAGAGATTTAATCCCTGTCTATTATCAAGAGCTCAGGAGATGGATGTAAAGGGAAATTGATAGAGTTAAAGCAAGTTAATACCCCTAGGCAGCTGGGTATTTTCTAGGCAACTGCCTGTATTTCATGTATTTGGCTGTTTCTAATTTTTAACATCCTTAGTGTGTGCTTAGCTGAGTGTAGCTACTCTTTGTAGCTGTCCTTAGATTAGCATGTATTCTGATCCACCAGTTCTTTGTTTTTTAGGCACCATTCAGGAAGATTACCTGAGGGAGCTGCTGACAACCATGGGAGACCGGTTTACGGACGAGGAGGTGGATGAGCTGTACAGAGAGGCCCCGATCGACAAGAAGGGAAATTTCAACTACATCGAGTTCACCCGCATCCTTAAACATGGAGCAAAGGACAAAGATGACTGAAAAAATTTCAGATTGCAGCTCCACTTTGGGTATTTCTGAGACTTTCTCATAAAACCTTCTGCATGGCCTTACCTTTACACTTTTGCCTTTCTTACTGTATTTATTCTCAGCCATTTTGGACATATGCATCTCTGTAATCAAACTGGAAATGGAACTTTTTGTCATTTTCAGAATAGGAAGTAGGGTAATTTAACTTACCCTCTTCCCCCACATAACTACAGTCTCTACAGAGTCAATATATTTTTTCAGAGAAAGTTATTCACTCATTTTTTTTCTGAATCATTATTAAACTTTATGATAAAGACATGGTTGTTTAAAACTTATTTGTCAAGATTTACTTTTGTTAGTTTTATTTGCATCTTCCAAAGAAAATCAAATGAGACCAATCCTAGAAAATTACATGGTTATGAGATCTGTTTTTTTGTTAAAGATTTATTTATTTATGCATACAAGAACTGGGGTACAGGCCAGAGGTGAGAGCATTCACCAGACACACAGTGGGGAACAGAACAGGTGTGGTAGACTGAAATACACTGCTGGGGGGAGACGTGGGTGAGATCAGAGAGTTGTGCTTCACCATGTGGGTCAGCTCCCTGGCTGGGGGTTGAGCTTGTGCTGCAGTGGCTGTGGATGGCTTCATAGTGCTGCACTTTAGCTTGTTGTGTCACCCGTGAAGGCCTGAGAGATCTATTTGTTATTCATTCCTACCCCCTCAAAAAAATTCAGATTTAACAACCTTAATCATGATTCTAGCACTTTGTCTTTTAATTTAAAAGTAGTTTTTTTTTTTTTTTTGGTGGAATTTGCATGTGATAACTCTGGTAGCTTTAAATTCTTGAATTTAACATACCTGCCGATAACTTTTAACATTCTGCCCACATCTGGGCTGTTGTACATAACCTCATGTCATTTAAAATTAGCAAGTCATTGAATGTAATTTTAATTTGTCCCAGTTTTTTAAATCATTTTATCCCCAGAGGTTTTGTGGTATGCTTCTACCAAAAAAGACAGAATTTTTTGCATTGTATTTCAATTTTTATTCTATGTATTTACTCTTTTACATAATATTCCCTATTGAAATATTGTGCTTATTCATGTAGATATTCACCACGGAGTCTGAGTTTTAGACATTCCTAACTTGCCACAATCAAAACAGCTGCAGATAACATGCCTGAGAAAGTGAGATCATTGTTTAAATCCTAAAAATAACTTGCATTTGCAAGAATTCAGAACTATTTCAGAGGTGATCAGGAATTGGTAGTTTCATTTTCTTTGGGCTTCAAAGATCTGATGCTCACAAATCCATGAGTTTAAGAAAGGTCTTGAAATACTGGGGAGAAAGTTCGTTAAAAAAGAGTTCACTATGAAGATGAGTCACTGGCATGCTACTGTTAACAAGACTATCCTTAGACAAACTATTACCTCATTCAGTAAACAATTACTTAATGCCTTAGGGCATCAGACTTCTGTACTGAACAGGATAGGTGAGCTAGATCTTTAACCAGGTGAGGCCAGCTTCACCAGAAGTAGGACCAGAAGCAAGACTATTCTTGCCCTTTTCAAGATTAGAATCTTAAACTGCATCTTTTAAGTGTTCCTGAATTTTATTCAGCGGTTTAAACAAAGCACTTTTTCCAGGCTATAGCCATTACACAAATCTTTTTTGTTGAATTGAATTTCCATCCCAACTGAGTAAAAAAAAATCACTTTTGCCTTAACAAATTTCTAGTGAAAAATAACACTGTTTCCACTATAGGAAAAAAGTGAGCACATCTGAAATGGAGATTTTTTTTTTTATTCCTATTTTCATAGCTGCTGAAAAAAACCAGTGTCCATTAGGAACTGTGAATGGTTGTTTTTGAGTGAAATAAGTTCTTCTAATTTAGTAATATTCTCTATGTGATAACTAGGTTTTACTTAAGCAAAAATAGTTGCCAATATAAAGCTCTCCGTGACTTTCATTATGATAGTCATAATTAAAACAAACCATATGAAAAGTTCTTGATGAAATCAACCCAAAAAGGGCAGCATCCTTATCTACCTGCTTATGATTATGTTGTCGCTGGATCTCAGGGTCCAAATTTTATTGATCAAGGAGTTATAACTCCTATAACTCAAAAGGGAATTGATAGGTACCATTTGGAAAAGAGGCCGGAGAGCCAGATTATATGAGACAAGGAAAAGCAAACATAAATGAAAGGCAACCATTTTCTATGCAGTATGAGCCCAAAAAAGCAGGAGGTATGAGAAAGCTAATTTAAAAGATGACCAAAGGCTTGGAAGGATAAAGCCCTTATCCCTTTATTTATGCATATAGGAACTGTGATACAGGCCAGAGGTGCAGGGGGTGAGAGGATTCACTAGAGGGTGGGAAACGGAACAGGTGGGTTACCTGAAATATGCTACTAAGGGAAGCAGCTGGTGAGACAGGAGAGGTCTGCCACACCATGTGGGTAACCTCCCTGGCCTGGGGTGGAACTAATGCTGCAGTGGCTGTGGACAGCTTCATAGTGCTGACACTTAACCCCTTGTGCCACCAGGGAGGCCCCTGTGTACCTGTTAGCCATGTCATCACTACTCATATTGATCTACATAAATTTTATATTTGTAATGAACATAAAACTTAATTTTTAGTTTAATATATCAAATATTTTTCATGTTTTTGCATAGCTACCTTTTTGTTTGGCTTTGAGTAGATTACTTTTTTTGTAAAACCACTTTCAGTGACCAGTTTATCTTTGATAAGAATATGCTATAATCAACCATTCCTAGGTGCTAGATATTTAGATATTAAGTTTTTCATCAATGTTTTTCTTTTGCCTCTAGAGAGAACAGTATATGTATACCGTAGAACTTTTTTAAAGCTTTATTTATTTATACATACAGAACTGGAATACATGCCAGAGGTACAAGGGTGGTAAGAGGATTCACCAGAGACAGAATGGGAAACAGAACAGGCAGATGGACAAAGAACACTGCTGAGGGGAGCAGTGGGCGGGCGAGACAGGAGAGGTCTGCTGTGCCATGTGGGTCACTTTTGGGTCTGGGGATCAAACTCGCACTGAAGTGGCTTTTGCCAGCTTGCAGTGCCGTGTGCTAACCCGTTGTGCCACTAGGGAGGGCCTTAGAACTTTTTTAAGGTCATTATACATTGGAACTTCCTGTGATAATGGAAGTGTTCTCTGTGCTGCTCAATAGGGACACTAACCACACATGGCTAACGAGCATTTAATATGTCCAATATAACTAAGGAACTGGCTTTTAATTTAATTACCCACATGTGGTTAGTGACTATTGGGCTGGAAAGTATAGTTCTAGAAACTCAAATATGGAGATCAGTCAGCATTCTCAGCCATGATGTCAATTAAGGTGCTTTGGGTGAAGATTTATGGATGAATGGTAATGCACCATATGTGGAAGAGTGTGACTGATGGACACCTAAGACAAAACCTTTTGTTTAATGGGGAAAAAAAACAACATTTAAACATTGAACTAAAAAGCAGATTACTGCTAAGGGAAAGTAAGTATTTCAGAACCAGGGATGACTATCGGCAATTGCTTTTCATACTTAATTGAGAAAATGTATTCATTTATGAGCCCCACCTTGGACAGTGAACAGTGCTATTGGGATGAGGATCACTGTAGCAAGCCATTAATTACCTGGATACTTATGATCTCAGTGTCTCCAAAATATTTCATCAAGCCTTCCAAATTTTTCTCAATGGTTCTAAGAACTGCTACAGAATGATGAACACATCCTACTATCTAGGAATTTCTGATCAGATTTCTATAACATGAAAGACTGAATAATTCACCTCCACATTATGTTCAGGCAATCACAGGCACTCAATAAAGAAGAGATTTGTTATTAAGTTAACTTTTCTCGATGCTGTTCACCTATATTATTCCAAGGTGAGGGAACTGAATCAGTTACAATATCTAGGACAAAACTGAGTAATGTAGGTTAGTGGTTTCTTTTGTTTTAACAAAAAGCATTATATAATGCCTGTGCTTGTATATATGTGTGCAACTGTCATTTCTTTAATGACCCAAAGGAAAACAAATCATTTGAATAAAATTTTTTGTGGTTAAAAAGGGAAACAGGCTGGCCTTGGCCTGGCTAGGCCGAAGACCTTGTAATTTGAGGGTAAAAAGAGGGTAAGAGTAAATGATACTACTAGACTGGGATGCAGGAAGGACTTTCCAGCTGGCAAAAGTTCACCGGGCCACCGCCCTCTTACCTTCCGCACTCTTGACATGTACCTGTTCTATCCACGTTCAGATTCAGCTAGGGAGCTGCCCATTTATTTGCTAACTGGCAGCCCAGAGTTGGGCGGCTTCCAGCGCCGGACAATCCCCCTAAACCTTGAGGGGCTCACACCCCACCCACGGGGTCAAGTTCCACGCCGGTGCAGTGCTCCGCCGCCCAGGAATGCGGAAGGGCCGCGGGAACGCGCCGCGGCGGGCGGGGGGACGCGCGGTCGCGGACTTGGGCTCCGCCGGAGGGCCGGCCGCATCGGTGTGCACGGTCCGCGGGGAACACCATGCCAGGATGGGCTCTTCGGTCCCAGGCGTTCCTCGGTGAACACGGCGGCCTTCGCTTGCTCCCCAGCGAGAGGGTAGCGCGCACCCCCCCCCCCACGCCTGACTTGGACCCGTCGCTACTTCCGCCACACCTTCCGGTCCGCCTCCTGAGGCAGGAAGTGCCGGCACCGCCACTGTCCGCCGCAGCCCAGAGCTCCTGGCCATCGCCCGTCGTCCCACGCATTGCAGCCCAGGTTCTAGTATCTGGCAGCGGTGAGTGCGCCCGCTCGCGGCTCGCGACACCCCCGGCACCAGACCTCTTACGCTCGCCTCCTGCCCTGTGCCCGCGGCGGGGCCGGGGACCCCGGTGTCCCCGGGACCTGTCATTTGGGCGCGGAGGGTCAGCTGGGAAGTCCAGGCTGCGGCCTGGCCCAGGCCGGGCGGTCAGGGTTCCGGGAAGAGCCAGGCCGGGCTGGGGAAACGCCCTGCTGGGAAGCGGAGGCCGGCTCCCCGGAGCCTGGCGCCGCCCTGCGTCACCCGGTGACTTGACACACCTGGGCCCGGGACCGCCCGGTGCCCCCACTGCCTGCGCCTGCCCTCGCGGCCCGTCTCGACCCGGGTACATGATCGGCACCCACAAAGTGCTTGATGCTTAGGGGGCAACTGGAATGCACTGGTGCCAGGTTCCTGCCTTAGGTGAGGTTTTCAAGGAAACGGTTAGAAACAAAAATCAAGAAAGATTTCGTCAAAAGATAATTAGAGCCTCATTGATAGGTTTTGATTCGCTTCTAGGAGGGAGAACTTAATATTTCGGATTGGAACTGAGCCAAAAGGTAGCCAAGGCCAAAAGCTTAAAAGGTGGGAATTTTTGTACTGTGAACGCAGGTGAAGAAACCAGCTTGAATGGAGGCATAATAGTTAACGACTAGCTAGGGAGGTAGGCAGGGGCCTCTTAACACAAATTTGAGGAGAAAAGATTATGTAAAAGGCATCAGGGAGTCATTGTGGATTTTGCACTACAGGAGTAACAAGAAGAATGGGGTGTTTCAAGGATTACTTCGGCAGTCTTTGTTTAAGATGAGTTTAGAATGGTCCATCGGTAAGAGGATTATAGAACTATAGCATTTTTAAATCAAAAGAACCTTATATTTTATCTTGTAAAACCATTTCATTTTATGACTAATGAAACTGAAACCCAGAGAAGTGAGGTAATATGCCCAAGGTCACTTGGGAGATACACCTAGTGCCACCCATTTTTCTCAGTAAGCATTAGGTAGATCCTCCTGGACCTTCTAAATAAGGGCACAAGTAAGCTCTTTATTCAGGTTCTGTTGAATAAAACATGCTTGCTGACTCAGTAGCCATTTATGCTTTAATGAGTTTAAACCAGATGAATTACAACTTCTGAAGGACAGATCACCAGGTAAGAGTTGCTTAGGGTTAGAAAAGATAATAGAACTTAGAGCCTCTTTAATGGGGTTTTCCCCTCCCATCTAAGATTCAGAGACAGCAGATAACCAGGGATCATTTTCATTGCCAGAAACTTTGATAAGATTCTTCCTGTCCCAAACTTCAACTATGTGTGGCACTGCTGGTTACCCCCAACTTCTTATCCACATTTTCGTGGTGGAGTTTTCAGCAGCCTGTAAACAGGATAAATGGGGCCAGTCATGGATATATGCTCTACCATTTTCCAGCTTGTGGCTGCAGACAAATTTGTTTATCCTGTTTGCCTTAATTTCCTCATCTGAGAAATGGGAATAATGGTAAAATTGTGAGGGTTAAATATATTGATACATATGATGCTTAAAGCAGTGCCTATCGCATTAGTTATTGGCTTTTATTAGTACTGATTCTTCAAGGTATGGAACAGTGGGACAGTTGATAAGTTTTGAGGAATAGTCCAGTAGAACTTAACAGTGAACCATGCAAAAAGCCTTATTTGGTTAGTGACATCCTTTACAATGAATGCAAGTATAAATAATTCTACTTGATAGGAAGGAAGTATATATATGCATTTAACTTCCTAGCATTTACTGATGACCTGCTCTGTGTAAGGCGTTCTGCAAGATACTGCAATCCAAGGTAAAAAGGTCAAGGCCATAAAAACATGTATGTAAATGGCATGGTGATGAAATGCCACTTGTTAGTACATAAAAGAACCACTGATGAATACAACAAATAAATGAATCTTTAGAACATTCGAGTGAAAAAAGTCAGGCGTTTAACCTATAAGCTTATACAAGTAGGAGAAGTTCAAAGATAGATAAAATTAATCTGTTGTGATAGAAATCAGAGTAGTGACTGCCTGTGGAAGAAGGTGATGATTTACAAGGAACTTTCTGGGGTAATGTTAATATTTGTAACTTGATTGGGGTTGTGGTTATAGAGATATACCCAATTATACAAACTCACTTATAGTAAAAACTTTACATTTCCTTTAAATTTCAAACTGTTGCTCGTGTATCCAGTCATTCTCTCCACTAGCACAAACAGTAGGATTTTTTTGGTATGTTATACTTATTCAAGTGGTGTTGGTTTACATCACACTATATGTCTTAGGGGTGTAGCTTTATACTACTACAAGCGAATGTAGTCATTTCACCACACCCACTACCAAAGCCCAGTAGTCCTCCATTACACCCCGCCTGTCTATCCTTCTGCCTACCACATCCTCCTCCTAGAGCCTTGGCGCAGCCAGTGTGCTCTCGCCCTCCTGTTCCCACCCCTCCCCTTTGTGTACTCCCTCCCCTTCTCCAGAATGCCTCAGAACTATGGTCAGTGTCCCTGTCTGGCCTTTGGGCGCACTCGTGCCTAGGCCGTGGAGGTAGCAGCCTGGTGGGAGCCAAGCCGCGAGCCCGGCGGTTGGCTGCTTCAGAACTCGAACTCGCGGTGTCAGCTGACACGTCAGCAGACACTGCTTGCGTTGCCTAGGCAAATCAGCAGTAAACGGAAATCTCCTAGATCCGTGTATCTGCCTCAAAGGGTCCAACCCTGCTGGACTGCTCCTCATGGGTAGTTACCTGGGGAAGCCCGCCCCCCAGCCACCTGCACCCCCCCGGGAAGCCAGGAGCCTACGGGAGCCACCCGGACCCGGATGTCGCACGCCCACCTCCTCTGTGCGGCCAGCACACTCGCTCTGTAGCCCTCACCACATTCGCCCCTCCCTGCCGCCCCACCCACCCACCCAGACGCCTTTCTGCCGACACCGCGGAACTTCTTCTGGTCCATTTGTAATAACGCCGCTAAGACAATATCCAATCCAGCAGGCCCAGTATTCCTTGCTGGGGGTACTCCCCACAGTGTGCTGGAATGGTAATCACAAGAAGACCGTGCTTTCCGCTCGTAATTCCAGAATGGTGTGCGGTCCAGTCACCGTGAGGATTCCTCCTCCTGATAGGAGGTGGACTCGGTCTCTACGCCTAGAGCAGGTAGTCAGCTCCCCACTGCCCTCCCGGTCGAGTAACGCCATAGGCCCGTGTGCAAAGGAGACTATACCGAGTACTCTCAAAGAGAAGAATGAAAGGTCAGTGGAGGAAGAAGAGCCAATTTTTGATAATGGTCAGGAAAAGCAGACAAGGTGCCCTGAGAGCAGTGGGAGTGGCCATTTAGTGTTTGAGCCCCTAATGGCTAGTGCAGTTCCTGCTGCTTTTGTGCCTACGCCTGAGGCTGTGAGGAGAGGTCTCAATTCTCAGAGCTCAGCTGACCCCCTATTGAGATCCTCCACCTCTCTGATGAGCTCCTCAGAGGTTACCTACACAAGTGGTATCCCTATCTCTGGCCGCAATGCCATTACCAGTTCTTACAGCTCCACCAGCTTGTCCCACTTCCAAGTACCAGAGAGACCAGCAAAGAAAACAAGGGAAGAGAATACTCATCTTTCTAGTTCTTCAACTCCACGGGTAACAGAGAAGGCGTCCTGTGGAGATCATATTGCAGATACAGCCATGTGGGAGAAACAGAACTCACAGGATTCCCCCATGAGGGAGAAACAGAACTCACAGGATTCCTCCATGTGGGAGAAACAGAACTCACAGAATTCCTCGTCTGTACCTGACAGCTCTAGGGCACGGAAACGGAAGGTCCAGCTGCTGCCCTCCAGGCGAGGAAAACAGCTGACCCTACCCCCACCTCCTCTGCTTGGTTATTCGATCACCGCTGAAGACCTAGACTTGGAAAAGAAAGCTTCATTGCGATGGCTGAACAAAATCTTGGAGGATAAGACTGATATGGCCTTGAGCTCTGTCACTGAGAGCCCATACACCACTACTCAGCCTTTAACCCTACCTACTATTGGGCCTGTTTCCTCCACAGATACCCTCCCAACCCCAGACACTAACCCACTGCTGGAGAGCTTGAAGATGCACAGTTCCCCGGTCCTCCCAGCCTTGCCAGAATCCACTGGCGTGGCACTAACACCCGAGGCTCATATGCTCCCGAAGACTCCCGACCTCCCAGTATCTCTCGGCTCTTTACAGTCAGTGCCCCTGCTTCCAAGCATCTCCTTAAACCCCAAATCCACAGTCACTTTCTTGGGCCTGACCCCTGCATCTTCCATAATACCAGTCGCTGACACTACCGAGTCACCTCAGGCTGAGACGTCCATCAAATCTCAAACCCTAACTGCCCCAACCCCCCACCCCAAGCAAAGTATTCTGTTTGGAATGCTAAGTACCTCACCTAACCCTTCTGCCTCTGCAACTACTGGTGTGTCTTCAGCATCTCCCAAGCGTAGTTGCAGTTTGGAGACCCCACCTGAAAGTGACAATGAAGACCCCTTACCATCTAGACATTCCAAGGTCACAGCCTCTTCTAACTCTGTCTTCCCCATAACTCCCAGTGTGGGGCCACTTCAGTCTGTGCCCTTGTCTTCTCCCTTCAGTCAAACAGCTATTCCAGCCACTACCACGAGCAACCCTCTCTTCACTAGACAGGCCAGTGCCACTTCTACGGTCGTGTCCGTAGCCGCAGCCAGCATACGTGCAGATTCTGCTTCAAAACCTGCTTTTGCTGTTAGTGTGAGCAACATGACCAACACCATGAGCAGCGAGACCAGCACCACTACTTCCCAACCTTTCTTTGGGACTCCCCCAGCCTCTGGTGCCAGCTCTGTCCCCTCCGTGGACACCATATTACAGTTTGGCAAGCCTCCTGCCATACCCACTTCAGTAGCAGTCACCACCTTTGGCCAGCCCCTTCCTGGTGCCACTCAGATATCCCACAGCAGCATTGCTGGTTTCAGAAGCTTTGGCAGCCCCCCGACAGGCTCAGCCCCTGTCACCACCAGCCAGCCTACACTGACCAGCACCACCACCCCTGCCGTCAGCATTCCCTTTGGCCCCAGCACTAAGCCGTCCATCACGTCACCTCCAGGAACCAGTCCCTGGCTCACATCTGGGGCCACTGATGGGCAGCAGCAGGGAGCCCTCAGCTCTAGCAGCTCTTTCACTCTTGGAAGCTCTGTAGCCCCAGCCGCCATTCCAGCGCCAGCGCTCAGCAGCACCACAGCTCTTTTCTCCATGGGTGCAGCCCCCACCCCTGACTCTGGAGCTAGGGCCCAAACTGCCAGCAGTGGGGCCAGTAGTAGTTCACTGACCAGTACTACAGTGTCATCGCTCTTTATGCTTGGGGGCTCTGCAGTCCCAGCTGCCACTGGGGACTTTGGGATCCACGTGGCTTCTTCAGGCACCAGCTCCACCTCTGGGGCTTTCTGCTTTGGAACAGAGCAGAGTGGGACTAGTGGCAACACAGCCTCATTTGGGAGAGGCCGTAGTCAGAGCACCTTGGGTACACCCCATCAGAGCACAGACCTTGCCATCAATGTGGTCAGCACGCTTAAGAGAAAAACTGTGTGTGGAGGCACCTCCACCCCCACCTTTGGTCTGGATACCCCTGCTCCCAAACAGGGCACATCCCGCAACCGTCTCGTGGGGGCATCCTCAGCACCCAGCCAGGGCTTTGTTGGAGGTGGATCTTTCAGATCGAACACTCCTCTTACTGTTGGTGCAGGATCCAAGATCCCAGGAACTCGACAGCGAGGGCAGGCCCGAAGGCAGCTCTCTCACAAGAAATAGTCTTTGCACCCTGCTATTCCCCCTCACCCCCAAAACCATGACCACTCTGTCCAGATCTGGACCTTAGTATCTGCTTGGAAGAGCTTCTGACCTTTGTAGTTCATCAGTCCAACCTATCCCAGACCTCTGACTTCGGCCACCTGGAAGATAGTGGCATTCTGGGGAGCCTTTTCCCCCTCCTCCCGGGAGCAGAAGTCTCAAGGCTTCTTGATGGGGAGAGGGAGGCAGAAACCTGACACCTCACTTCAACAGTCCCATAGGTGAGGCTGGAGAGAACTAAGAACTGCCTTTTCCTTCCCTCTTGTTTGCTGTGCCTTGGCATCCCTTCCTGGTGGCCTCTCTCTGCCCCCTCACCCCTGCCCTTGCTGGAGAGTAGCAGGTGCAGCCCTTGCCCACTTGCCTCTCTGGTGAGCATTTGTTAGATTTGGGGGGGAATGGATTATCTCTAAAGCTTTACCTGGCTTTTCTTGGCTATAGAAAGTTCTCTCTGGTTCCCTTAGAGGACTATTAACCCCACTTACTGTTTGTCCTCTCACTGGTTCTGTGGTTCTGTAGGATTTATTCCTTTTCAAGTGGCCTTGAATCTAGCTTTGCTAAGTCTGAGGCAGTGTTTTGTCCCAAGTCTGCCAATTTGGCCTTTAAAAACTAGATGGCTCAAGACTCTTAGTAGCCTGGCATGTCCAGGGGTGACACCGTGCTCCAGGAGCAGGAAGCTCTTGGAGCAGGGAGGGTGCCCACTGCTGCTTCCTCACACTGTCATTGCCGCCAGTCTCATCGAGTTCATCTGTCTCGCCAGGATTGCATGTTTAGAGACTTGACCTGTGTTACTCTGCCTGCTGCTCACATCTACTGCTCTTTTAGTCAAGTTTGGAGGAAGAATTGGATGAGCGGCAGCATGTTGGTAGGGCTGCACTTAACTGTTTCATGTTTCTGGGGCCTGGCTCCTCGACCTGGAAGGTAGCACCTTTTCACAGCCATACATGCCGACTCCCGGGTTTTCAAAAGGTGTTTTGACTTTATAAAGACTGGCAACCCTGGAAAACAGGGCCAAGGAGGGAAAAGACCTCTTTCCTCTGCTGTGTCCTTGCCTGACTGGAGGCCAGACCACTCCTAGTATATATCAGAAAGTTACATATAAGTTCACAAGCCATACTTCAAAATACTTAATTTTCTTCAACAGTCTCTCTGCCCCTTCCCCTTTTCTTCATTTGTTCCCAAATCTCATACCCCATGCCCAAGACCCTCACTGCCATGCCGCATCCTCCTCTTTAGAAATAGTAGGACTCTATCTAAATTAAAGCATTTAATAATTCTTAACAATAAAATTTAATGTATTTAAGCTAAATTGCCTTTTAAGTTCTTTCATGTTCATGGAAGTGGTTAAGTATAGGAGTTAGCTACACAGTTAAGTTATGCTTGTAGAAGAAGCTCAAGTACCGTCCCAGGCAGTTTTTTTGAGGGACTAGAGCTCCTTCTGGACACTTTATATAAAAGGTAATTCTTATTTTATGAACAATGTGATACAGATGTGACTAGTCCCGCTTCCCCTTTAGGACTAAGGTTGAATGTATTGTGTCAGGGGACTGTTCCTCCCTGACCACAAAAAGAGGCTTTACTAATACCAAACTGTAGAGCCGACTAGGGGCCTGCACCTTAATCCCTAATGCCTGGTGGGATGGGAAGGGGTGGGGGGTGGGTATGGGTGTAGAAATAAACTACATAGGGTGGATTCTCTTAGTACAGCAAGCTAGTTTGCCTCAATTCCACAGGCAGGACAGTTAGTCCAGGAACCCCCTGAGGAGGGTGGCCTGACAGCCTCATTGAGTGTGTGTGCATGTAACTGTGTGTGTACTGGACAGGAACAGGAACGGGAAACTGGGCCTTTCCATACAAATACTGAATTCCTGTTGATTACAGTCGGAATTTTTAGGATGGTTGTGAGATTTCTACCTGCTTGTGTCATTAAGAATAAATACAGATCTATTAAAAAAAAGATACTAAGGAATATTGAATAGCTGACAGAATTTCCCCCAGGAGCTTCGAGGCTTTCATTGAAGCCATATATAATTCAAAGGCAGTTTCTGCTTATTAACAATTTTCAATTTGTTAATTAACAGTTAACAATTTCACATCAGTATTGTGGGTGAATACTTAGATTGCCATCTAAAATGTTGACATTGCAGCCATCTCTGATACCAGTATTTCTATATCCCTCTGTATATCTGGTAACCTCTGTGAATACGGCATATATCCTTTAGCTCACTCTGTTAGAATTAACAGAAATAATCAGAAAAATTGAAGATGAGAAGACTTTACCTTTTTTTTGAAGTTTTTACTTTTATTGAAGGTTATTAATTACATTATGTGCTCTATAAGGGTAGATTTTTACTTTTTTATCTTTAACATTTATAGGTTAGACAGTAATTTAACACAATTCTAGCTAAGTTTCAAGTCTTTACCTATCATATCATACAAAGACCATGACTGAGAAAATACTGACACTTGATTAACCCATACCAGGCTGCTACAATGCCCCACTCCATGGAGTGCCATTTATATTTTATTCTCATCTCAAACCACAATGCTATTCTGTTCCACACATTGATTTCTCCTGTGAACTTTGATTTTATTTGAAAACTCATTTTTGTCTAGGATTTGAATTTAGAGGAGAGATGCTCAGAAATCAATATTGGGTTATATTGGTAGCATTGAACTACTAAAAAAAATTTTTTTTGTAGCAAAATGATAATAACTAGAACAACATTTAGTACAAAGCAGGAAACATATATAGATAGAAATAATTTTCAACAAATGGGTTTTGAATCTTATGCTACTAGGTGATCTTGAAAGTTATTTAATATCTATAACCTGCAGTTTCATTTGAATGAGACATCTTAAATTTAATGCACATAAAGTACCTAGCACATGAGTCACTCATTAAATGGTAGTAACCATGAGTTGAATAGACCTTAATTCTCTTGTTGGTTCTAAGGCAGAGAAGTGGGTCAGGATTTTACTGAAAAATAGCAGTATTGAAGTTACATGAAGTCAAACTGCATGGTGTACGTGGGCATATGCACAGTTTGGCGTTGCAAAGAGAAAGTACAATGCCGAGTATGGCTAGAGATGGAATGGAAATCGTTCTAGAGCTGGGAAAGGAAGGCCTTGTGCACCATGCTTAGTAATTTACACTTTGACTTTGGGGCAGTGAAGAACCAAAGATTTTTTTTAAAGACTGATAGAGTCCTATTCATGTTTTAAGACCTTTTTGGCAGGTATGTAAAAGGTAGTTTAGAAGTGACCAAAAAACAAGAAAAAATAATCTAGACAAAGAGATGCTGAGTTCCCAGTTTTGGGTGTAGCAGAGGAATGAGAAAGATGAACAAGTCTGAGAAATATTTAAGAGGTAGATCTTTATTCTTAAGGGGTAGGAAGCAGTTGGGAATGACTTCTAGGTTATTGGTTTGCTAAATGGGTAGATGATGGTGCCAGTAATTGAGAGGAAATGGGAAGATGAGAAAGTTTGGGAGGAGAAAGACAATGGATTCAGTGTTCATCATGTTGACTGTGTTTGTGGAATACCCAGATGAGTACCTTTCACAAGCAGTTGGATATTTTGAGCCCAAAATTCAAGGGAAAGGTAGACCTAGAAATGCAGACTGAAGTCATCTATATATTCAGAATAGTTAGAGGTGATAAGATCATACAAACAGAGAGTGAAAAGAACTTTAATAAGCAATGGATTGCGAGGATGCTGGGGGATACATGGATATTTAATGAATGGAGTAGATAGAAAGCCTGAAAAGAAAATAGAGAAGGACTAGTCATTAAAATAGTAGAGATAAGAGATTAATTGCTACCACCAAATAAAATACGTCTTTTTACATAAACCAGTCTTTCCAGAGTGTAAGGTCTTCAAGGATGGGGACCTTGTACTGTCTTTCCATTGGGACAATTAATTTTTCCTTTTACAGTTGTTCATTAGAGCCAAGAGTAATTAAGTCTCTGAAGAAGAGATTAAAGGGTCAAATGTAGCAGAATGATCCAAGAAGATTTAGACTCTTTGGCACATTGAAAGCAGTTGTAGTAGAGAAAAGAAGCCAGATTGTAGGATGTTGAAAATTGGTGGGAAAGTAAGAAAAGTAGAGCAAGCCAACATGCTTAATCTCATTAGTAAGGAGAGAGGGGATGGTGGTTTGGGGACCAGTTCTCTTCAGCTTCATTGTTTGATACAATTGTGGTTCATTTTTCAGCTGCCCCAGCTAGTCACCTGCTCTCATACTCGGAAAGCTGTAGAGTTAAAGAACAGACCCCAAGTCCACTCTCATCTGTGATACCAAGTTTGGTTCTCCAAGATGCTCCTCAGATTCAGTAATTCCCTAGGACTCACAGAACTCACTGAAAGCTGTTATGCCCATCGTTTTGTTTGATTTTAGGAAAAGGACTCAAAATTAGCCAAGGGAAGAAACACATATGGCAGAGTGCAAAGGGTTCTGAATGCAGCTTCCAGTTGTCCTCTCCCAGAGTGACATACACAGACCACTGACTCCTTCTGGCCTTTGGGTGTGGCAGTAAGCACAGAGTATTACCTACCACGGAAACTCACTCAGTTCATGATGCCCATAGTTTTTATTGGGGCTCTAACAGAAATACTGTAGACTGCCTGGAGACTAGCCTCCAGGCCCTCTATAGGTTATATTGATAACTTGGACCTAAAATCCCACAATAAATCACATTATTAGATTACCTGTTTTTATCCAAGACCCCAGATAAGAGATAAGCCATTCCTTTCAAGGGCTTGGAGATTAACTCTCAGGAGTCAAGGGCAAACACCAGATCTCTTTGGGTAACATTAAATTCTTTACTGCTCAGGGGCCACTTTTTTAAACCTAGGATAGTACTTATAAGGCAGTTGTCAAGCTTGAATAAGACTTATCTTGGTGTCCATGGGTTTTCTGAGGTTGTATATAGGTTATAGAACTGTGGTTTTATGTGAGGAC